GTGAAATAATCTCATTTTCCCTGTACTATCTTTGACCTATTTATGGTCTCTTCTTTTGCAAATGGTCTCCAGTGTTACTTTTCTAAAAAATATGGAGATATCATGTGTTTGCCTCTTTCTTCTTGTTCCTTTGAGCAATTCACCTACTTCTGTGCCACTGCCACATTCTGAGTTACTATATCTTTATAGTCTTGATATTTGATAGGTCAAGAGTTTCCACTTCACCCTGTTTTTAGTAGTATTACAGGTATTATTGGTTCTTGGCACACCCATCATGGTGTCAGGACCCTGTTGGGGGTGCTGCCTCTCTTTGTTTGTCTCTTCCTCTGTCTCTGTCACTCATGAAGGAAATAAATAAACTTACAGCAATATAGATACAGAAAACCACAAAAAAAATTTTATAGCCTACCGAGTTAGTATAAATTGGACACACATCCATGCAAAGAAATAGATTTTTGCTAGCCCTTCCAAGAGTTCTTCCATGCGACCAATTCCAATCACAGCTTCCTTGGTCCTTCTTAAAGTAATCACTATCCTGACTTAGAGTAATCACTGCCCTACCTATGAGTTGCTCTCCAAACATTTCTTTTCTTTATGATTTATCTGTTGAAGAGCTCAAGCCATTAAAAGTTTCTAAGTCTGGATTTTGTTGGTTGCATACTTATGGTGCAGTTTAATATGTTCCTCTGATATATAGATATATCCTCCTCAAAGCAAATGTTCATCAGAGTTGGTATGATTCACTTAGCAAGATTGGTGTTGTGTTCTTTTATCATGAGGCACATGATATTTGACTTTTGTTTTGTTTTGTTTTGTTTTGTTTTTTAGGATATTAACAGCTACTAATGCTCAATTTCTAGAAACAGTAATTAATGCAAAATGGTGCTATTTTAATTCCAACATTTAGCTTTCATTTATTAATTGGAATATAGTCATTTCCACTTCACTATTATTTAGTTAGCCAGTGGTATAGTTTACATTGGAAAGGTAAGATACATGCTTGATTATTATTTCCTTAAAGGATTTACCTAATTTTCAAGGTAATAAGCTGGTTTCTGATTATCCTCCAAAAGTGATGGTATTAATTTTCTATTGCTACATAACAGATCACCTTAAATCTTGTATGTGGTAAGATTCTGTGGGCTGATTTGGGCATTTATTCCTCTGATCTTCCCTAGGCTCAATTGTGCAGTTACCATATGACAACAGAAATAGATGAACAAAGGTGGCTTCATTCTCATGTTTGCTGAGTGGTTCTGGCTATTGTGTGGGAACCCTGAGTTCTCAACATGACCACAGTAGGCTATCATTACAGAATGGCATACTCAAGGTAGCATTGCAAAAAGGAAAGAAAGCCTCAGTGACCAGTGCTTATCATGCCTGTGCTTAATGTCACATTTACTGATGTCCCTTGACCAAGTTCAGAGACAATGTGGGAGGACATTTAGACTCAGACTTTTGAGAAGAGTAACCAAAAGTTTGTAGCCAATTTTAATCCATAATTGTGACTTTTTTTTAAAAATTCAAATATTGTTATGAGTTCCAGCAGGTGGTGTGGAGGTTAAGGTGGCTAAATCCTATGCGAGTGACTGCATGATTCAAGTCCTGGACCTAGCAGCTTAAAAATTACGTCCGACATGTATATGTTTGTAGTCAAAATCCTGAGAGGAGAATGGAGGAGAGGGGATTGAGGCATGGCCATCAATCCCCCCTGCGGGGTGATTTCTCACTTTCTCTCTCTCTATTTCTTTCTCCCTGTCTCTGGTGAGTGCATACATTCTATAGCAAACAAACAAAAATATTGTTAAAAAGTCATAGATATAAGCATAGTTATTAGGCTTCGATTCATTGCAGTCCATTGCGCGTTTTAATCTTTGTTTAAACAATACTTGCTGGGTTTAAATAATCACACATTGACTTGGGAACCTTGGATCCTTTTGCTAAGTAAGATCTTAGTTTTTGATACCTTTCTAGATATCCTGTATAATAAGATGTTCTACTAGGTTCATCTTGTACATTATTTTGTCCCCCAAATTTTTTTGTACAAATTATAGACAATTTGTTTCAAAAATCTGCCTTCTTTTATTTGGGATTTTTTTTTTTCTTTATTCGTGATAGAGCATATATGTGCACATGACAGAGAGAGAGAGAGAGAGACACCCTTCACAGAGTCTGGTGACTTCATGATCCCCTTTCTCCAGTCTTTAGTCATAGTCAGCTTTTGGGCACTCACTCGTACCTGGTGTGTGTCAGGCAGACCAAGCTAGGGATTCAAATCACAGTGGCCATGTGGAGGCCAGCTTCTCTTAAGCAGCACTTTACTGCTGCACCATGGAGCTGGCCCATGAAAACACTTTGTAAAACCATAATTTGGGTGCTGAGAATTGTTATTGGATTGGTAATTATTTCTTGGATGTTACAAAAATTCATCCCGATATTTCTAATTTAAGGAGTACAGGATTTTAGTATCTTTTATATGACATTTACTTCTGCATTCTTCCACACTGAGAATCTCAGTTCTTCTCTCATACAGTTTTGTTTTAGTTGTTCTCCATAGACTCTTGGCTTTGCTACCTAGATATTCTATATGATTTTATGTAGGGATTTGAGAAGATTCAAGAACTATTATCCCCCTGCTGCCACTATCTTCCCAGAATTTACTCTTTTACCTCTTTTGTTAAACTTCCATATTTAAAATAATGTGTCTGTAATTTATAGTGTTTTGTGGAGGAATATATTTAGACAATTATGTCATATAGGAATAACAACAGTTATTTTTCTTTATTCCCAATCCTTATGCCTTAATTTTGTTTTCTTGTCTTACTATGTTCTAGAAGCTAGAAGTGCCAGTCAGTGTCTGATAAAAATAGCAAGAGTGAACACCTTTGTCTACTAAAAAGCAATTCTTCTTTAAAAGCAATGATTGTAACATTTAGCAATCATGAGAATTATTTATACAGGATTTTTTGGGGGGGTATTTAGATATCTTGTGTATCAGATTAGTATATTATCCCATTCTATCCCTAGTTTGCTGAGAGTTTTATTATTTAGGTCATGAGTAGATGTTGGATTTTGTCAAACACATTTTATCTTTCAATTAAATTGTATTTAAATTATATTTTTTAAAGAATTATTTTATTTAATTTTACTATTCATTCATTTATTTTTTTTTAATGTGACCATAGAGAGACCAGAGAGAGAAACAGAGAGAGAGGGAAAGTGAGAAAGCAAGGCACCAGGTCCAGGACTTGAACCATAGTCTGCCATGTGGGAATGTCCAGCACCTTAACCACCATGCCACCTGCTGGTCCCTTAAATTATATTTTCTAATGTTAAACTCAAAATTTTTTGTTCTGGAATAAACCCAGCTTTTTCATGGTATATTATCTTTTCTACACACTATTAGATTTATTTTTTGTACTAAAACTGAATTTTACTATGTTCATGAATGATACTATATTGTAATTTGCCTTTTTTTATAATGTCCTGTTAGTTTTATTGTCAAAGCCATCGTGTCCTCATGAAGTTAATTGGGAAACATTCCCACTTTTCCATTTAATTCTTGTTGATTGCATCTTTATCAATTATTCAAACATTTTGAAGTTTTTTGGATTAGAAGCTAAATGTTTTTTGTTTCACTTGCTTTATTATAGGAGATATATATGCATTGAATAGTTTACAAAATATGTGTAGCTAAATGTTTGTGTATCCCCAAAATTCATATGTTTGGAACCCTTATGCTCAGTGTGATATTTGAAAGAGGGGTCTTTGGGAGATATTTAGGATTAGATTAGGTCATGGTTATGGGGCCATCATGGTGGAGGAATGCCCTTGTAAAAAGGAAAAGAGAGACCAACAGATAACCTAATGGCTATGTCACTGGACTCCTATATAGTTGACCATGGTTTGAGTCCTGGACCCAGTGGCTTAAACTCACATCAGACACGTGTGCGTGCATGCCCAGGATCCTGAGAGGAGAATGGAAGAGAAGGGATTGTGGCGTGGCCATACCCCCTGGGGAGTGATTTCTTGCTTTCTGTCTCTCTGTCTCTCTTTATCTTTCTGGCGAGCACATGTGCCCTATAGTAAAAACATGTCAAAAAAAAAAGATAAAAAAAGAAAGAGAGAGAAAAGATTGGGGCCAGCAGGTGGTGTAGTGGTGAAGGCTCTGGACTTCTACGTGATTGACTGTGATTCAAGTCTTGGACCTGGTGACTTGAAACTCGTGCCAGGCATGCGTGTGTGTGTGTGTGTGTGTGTGTGTGTTTGTGTGTGTGTGTGTTTGCCCACAATCTCAAAAGGAGAATGGAGGAGAAACAATTGCAATGTGACCATCCCCTGAGAGGTGATTTCTCATTCTGTTTTTCTTTCTCTCTGGCAAGTGCATACACCCTATAGCAAAAATCTCTCAAAAAGAAAAAAAGAGGAAAATTTCTCCACACTGTGAGAGTTCAGGAAAAGACCATTAACAAACCAGGAAGAATACCTTCACCAGACACTGGATCTACCAGCCTTTTGGTCTTGAACTTTCCAGCCTCCAGAACTGTGAGGAATAAATGTCTATTGTTTAATACCAGTCTATGGTATTCAGCTATAGCAGTCTGAATAGACTAAGACATACATTTTACGTACTAAGAATAATACGTACTGAATAATTTTGAAAACATGTATATACAGCTTAGATAATGATAATGACATTACCTAGCTATTTATGATATAGGTTAAGAAACATTACACTACTAATATCAGAAATGTGTTTTGTGTGCCCCTATGAGATTGCATCCCTCTTCCTAACCATTCACAAGTAAGAACCACCCTGGTTTTATTGTAATCATACCCTTTCCTTTGACTGCCTTTCCAGAAAATACATTGTTGGTTTGTCTCTTTTAGAACTTCTAAAATGGACCATATGGTATATATTCTCCTGCGAATCATACTATATATATATATATTCTTCTGTCGCTTGCTTTTTAAAATCTATAACTGTTTTCTTTTTTTAGACTGGAAAAAATGAAAAAAGAATACAGAAATCTTGGTACATGGATAGAGAAAGCTAGCTATTTAGAACAGGCTCTTACCCCCAAACTGGAACATAGTGATATTAAGGTAATTGATAAAAATATATTCTTCTGTATATAGCTTTCAATACTTTCTATTAAGAAGGTCATGATATAGTAATCAAGTATTGCTTATCTGCTCTTGATATACAAATATTATTCATGGCTCATGTACTTTCCTATTTTGGTAATGTACCATTCAGTAAATAGTGATTAATAATTTATAAGATTTAATTTTCTGGTAGCTTTATTAAGATATAGTTCACATATAATGTAATTCATCCATTAAAATGTACAATTTATGGTCTTTAGTATATTCACCAAGTTATGTATCCATCACCACAATAAATTTCCTACACCAAATAACACCAACACTATCCTCTCAAATTCTCTCAGCCCTATGCAACAACTAATCTACTCTATATCTCTAGATCTGCCTATTGTAGACATGACATTTCATTTAAATGGAATGATATAATATGTGATCCTTTGTTACTTGCTTCTTTCACATAATGTCTTCCATGTTTATCCCCATTGTAGCACACATAAGTACTTCATTTCTTTTTATTTCCAAATAACATTTCATTGTATGGACAGAGCATATTTTGTTTATACATTCATCTGCTGATGGACACTTGGATTGTTTTCATTTTTAAGTTACTATGAATAATGCTGCTGTGACTATTCATGTGCAAGTTTTTTGCGTGAATGTGTTTTTAATTCTCTTGGGTAATAACTAGAAGTGAAAGCTGGCTCATATGGTAATTCCCTACTTAAACTTTTCCACAGTAGCTGCATTATCTTGCTTTCCAACCAGCAATGTCTGCAGGTTCATAATTTTTATCAACACGTGTTATTTTCCTTTTAAAAAATTATTGCTATTACTATTATAGCCATTCTAGTGAGTTTTAAGTGGTATCTTACTGAGGTTTGTTTGTTTTTATATTTTCTCACAAACATTTACTTTACATATCAAAAAATTTTGTTCATACTCCATAATTCTAGAAAGTTAATAAACAACTTTCAAACTTTCAAAAAACTGCGTTTTAATGATAACTTTCAAAATATTTGTTATAATTTTGTTCGTGACTCTATAACAACAGAGACTATATGTTTTAAACTATTCTTGAGAAAATATTTACATGTTAACTATTCAAACTGTTGCAAAGCAAACACCCAGCACACAATTCACACATAAACCCTCTCAATTCAGCCCTGCCTACCTAGTATTCTGTGATATACAATCTGCTAGCAAAGATTGGTCTCTTTTTCTTACTTCAAAGTCTTCCTCAAGGTAATCCTCTGGTTGTGGCTGCTCTTTTGCAATCTCTACTGATTATGATACTGGGCTGGAAAAGTGCAGGTTATTTTATGGTACAAATTCTTTCATATAGCTTCTGTGATCCTCTCTGACAAGCAGAACTGTTTATGGTGCTAGACAGTCTTTCAAGAACTTCTGTTGGCTTTCTTGAGATATATACCTTAGTTTCATAGGTTTCTGGCCATATCTTCAGATATGACATTCCAGTCAAAGACCTGGCAGTAGCAAGTATTTCCAATTTCTAATGCAAGGCAACAGGTATTATTGAACTTATGCAAATAGCCTTTCTGCTACAAAATAAGAATACTCACAAATACTTTCCAATTCCAGAGGGGTCAGGAAGGGAGAAAACTCCTTGTTTCAATTTAAAAAAACAAACAAGCAAGCAAAAAATAAACACCCATTTTAACAAATTGCCGAACCTCTGAACAGCTTAAAAGAAAGCAAAATCCTTAAATTTAGAAAACAAAGCATAGAAGGAAATCAGTAACGTTTTAGTCAAAAGCCATAAAATTCTTTTTCACCAGTTCGGTCTCATGTAATTAATCTCTCTTCCGTTGAATTTGCAGTGTTACTCTGGTCAGATCTTTCTGTTTAAATCCTGAAAGATAACATTCAATATTATTATTGGTATTTACAGACTTGTCCCTAACATTAAGTTGGTCATTTTCTTGGTTGCTTTTGTTCTCTTATTTCTGTCTGTCTTTAGTTTTTCTGGTATAGCACTCCCTTTAGAACTTCTTGTTTATCTGAGAGTGTTTTTCTTTTCTTCGCATGTGAAAGATAATCTTGCTGGGTATAGTATTCTTGGTTGAAATTGTTTTTCACTTAACACTTTGAATATATTTTTCCATTCTTTCCTTGTTCGCATTGTTTTCAGTGAGAGTCTGATGTTGACCTGATGGGATAACTTTTGTAAGTGACCTGACATTTCCCTCTTGTCAATTGTAGTATCTTGTCTTTGTCTGTGGTTTTGGCCAATCTGGCTATGATGTGCCCTGGATAAAATCTTCTTGGATTGATTCTATTAGGAGTCCTTTGTATTTCTTGGGTCTGGATATTTGAATGGGTTTGGAATGTTTTCTTCCAGGATTTCGTGAAATAGATTATCAATGCCCTTATTAGTTTCTTTACTTTCTGGAATACCAATTATCTGGATGTTTGGGCGCTTAATGGTATCTAATATTTCTCATATATTATTGTTTTTTGGGGATTATTTTCTTAGTTTTTTTGTTTTTTTTCTAGGTCAGAGGTTTTGTCTTCAACATCCAAGATTTGATCTTCTACATGATCTAATCTGCTTTTCATGCTTTTGAGGGAGGTTTATATTTCCTATATTACAGCCTTCATCTCTCACAATTCCATTTGATTCTTTTTTATGGTATTTCTTCTTTCAAATTGTGAAAGAACTTCCTCACCTTTTGGAATTCTTTGTCTCTCTTCTCTTGTACCTTCTGGAGTTCATTGTCTCTCATCTCTTGTACCTCACTTAGTTTTGTCACTATGAATATTCAGAATTCTTTATTGGATATTTCTATGAGTTCCATGAAGGGTTGTTCTTTTCTCTTGGAGAAGAGATGTTTTCTTGGTTTCTCATATTTCATGTGCTTTTGCGGTGGTTTCTGGTCATCCAACGGATTTTACATTTCTTCCTAGTTTCTTGGAGTTAATTCTGAGTGTTCAGAGGTATGCAGGAGGAAGTGATCTGCAATTTCTCTGCAGTGGCATTTCCCTGATGCTCACCAAGTAACCTGTGCTTTTGACTTTGGCAGTGGATATTACAAAAGCCTCACAGTTTCTAGGGAATAGAGGTACCTGGGCTGAGCTGTGGAGTTTCCACTGAGAGTTCAGAGGCATATGGGAGGAGACGAGCCACACTTTCTCTGCAGATCCAGACTTCTTCCTGCAGCTCACTCTGCAGTCTCCCTTCTCTAAATTTTAGTCATTTGGTGGTGTATTTTCTTTTGGCTAATTGGTTGGAGAAGGTTTCTACAACCAGAGATCACATGCTTCCCTATACTGTAAGGTACATCTGTGACAATTTCTCTCCTCTATTGTGTTTTGCAATATGGCATCCACAGAAAGTGATTTTGAGGTCAGATTTACAAAGAGGAGTTTCTTCTTTTGGGCAGCAGGTTCAGTAAGGGTTGAAGATTTATATGACCCTAAAAGCTTGGCTATTGTGCACCTAGGCCTGTCTAAACACTCAGTGTGTGGAGACTGCGTAGCAGAGTGAGAAAGCAAGGTTTAAAAACCAAGAAAAGGTCTAGCATGCTGGGTAGAGTTTCTTCACAGTATAATGATGTATAGCAATTTAATGTATGAATAATAATTTTAAAAATTAAAAATTAAAAAAAGAAATCCCCCCACCAAAAAAAAGGAAAAGGAAAAGAAAACAAAGGGGAAAAAAAAAAAGGGGAGAAAAGTTTTTTAAAAACCAAAATATTAAAACCAAAGGCAGCAGGGCATACCTCAGATTTAAATGGCTTCTGAAATTAGCAAGAGAAAGGAGAGGTCAGAGGTGAGAAGTATTTTAAAATTTTAGAAAAAGGAAAAAATGTAAAGAGGCAGAGAGAGGACAGAGGTTGCCCTACCTGTCTGAGATTTGGGTATGGGAGTTGGGCTTTAGAGGAGAGATTCTTCAGTTGCCTTGGTTCCTGAACACGGCAGGGCACCCCTCAGATTTAAGTGGCTTATTTATTGTGGTTTTGATTTGCATTTCCCTAGTAACTAATGATATGAACATCTTTTTATGTATTTACAGGTCATTTGTGTATCTTTTCTGGACATATGTTTATTCAAATCATTTTCCAGTTTTAAAATTGGATTTTCTTTTTTTATTGTTGAGTTGTAAAACTTCTTCTTGTGTTTTGGATACTAGACCTTTATCAGATATTTGAGTGGTTAAATATTTAGAAATACCATCTGACTTGTTTTGACCTATAGCTGTGTATATCAGTGGCTAGATAAAACACCAAGATCACAGCCCCGAAATGGTAGCAATAACATACTGATGTTGTTATGGTTTTCCAGTGCTCTGTGCTGATCAGATAGAGCTGTGCTGCTGTGGGATAGATTGATTCGTATTTACTAATACAGAATTAGTATTTTAGAAAAAACTTGGGGATCTCCTCATTAAGGAAACTATGTACACATGCTTTGAAAAACCATGCCATGTCCCGCTAAGATGTATAATCAGAAATCGCAGTGTGTATGTAAACCAGAAATCACAATAAAAAAAAATAGTTTTGTATAAAAGTCAAAACAACAACAAAAAGAGCAGTGTTTCGTAAGAGCCCGGTGATCTCTTTACCTTACAGTTCTCATTGCAGTTTCATAAAAACACAGTACTTTTCAAGTCATAGGCCCTAATGAACGTATTCCAGTGAAAAGTAATCTGTTCCCTGAGGTCATTCTCTATACCCCTTGAAGTTATAATATTACGTAATTTCTCTTGTAATCTTCATTGCTCATGCAGTCATCGTTCAGATATCCTATTCATTCTTGGCTATCCTCTGCTACTGCTCTTTAAAATAGTGCTCTTTGGATTGCGTTTGTTCACAGACTCATCTCCTTCTTGTCTTCTGTAAATTTAGTGGGGAGGAGGACTAAATTGTACTAAAATAAGTTATTAAAGTACAGCAAAATATTTTAGCTCTTTAAACATTGCACCCAATATGTGCTTTTTTTTTTTTTTTTTTTTTTTTGGCTTCTAGGAAAGTAATTCAAGTGAGATATTTGGAAGCCTAGACTTTAGTCCTTCTGAAGAGAGGTTTAAGCATGTGTCATCAGGTAAGAAACTAATTTGATTTCTTATGTTTATCATTAAGATCTTTAAGTCAGAGTGGTTATATTGCAAAAAGAAAATTAGCTATTTGCTCTAAGTTGATTTTTTTTCTTTATTTAGGTTTTTGCCATAGGGAGCGTGTGCTTGCTAGAGAGAGACAGAGAGGGAAAATGAGAAATCACCCCTAGGGGTGATGGCTATGCCACAATCCCTTCCCCTTCATTCTTTTCTCAGGACTTTAGGCATGTATGCACACCTGCCCAGCGTGATTTTGAAACCACCAGGTACAGGACTTGAACTGCAGTCACCCATGTGGGAATTCAGCACCTTAATTACCATGCCACCTGCTGGCCCCTGATTCTATATTTTGTTAGGGAATAAATATACATTTATAGTGAAATTTTGATATGTAGTATTTATTTTGTTATACTCCCAGAGAGAAGGCTTAGACCCAATTAAGAGTTTTTTTTTCTTTCTTTTTTGTTTTAATGCAGGTCAGCATTAAAGTGTGGCATGGTGAATGAGGCAGCTGTATTCCATACGGCCAACTACTAGGTCATCAGGAAAGTCATGACGTATTTTTCTATTAAAAAATGTGTCATGACTTTCCCGACAGCGCAGTACCTGGTTCAAGTCTTGGATCTGGCAGATTGAAAAATGTGCAAAGCACATGTGCATGTGTGCCCAAAATCCTGAAAGGAGGAGAAATAGAATAGAGGAGAAAGGATTGTGGTGTGACCATCTCCCATAGGGCTGCTGCTTTAAGGACGAACTGTCAAATCTTAAAAATGTTAAGAAAAAAAGTTAAATCTGAACTATGATCGGTGATCAGGTATCTTTATTAAACATTGTGAACTATAGAGTTCTGTGTTATGTCGAGGTGTGTGTGTGTGTGTGTGTTTGTATATGTGAGTGTGAAAGAGAAAGTGCCAGAAAAAGGAGAGGAAATTAAAATACTGGTTGTCAGAAAAGTCATGATGTATTTTTCTGTTTTTCTATACAAAAATCCATCATGACTTTTCCAACAACACAATAGCATCAAAATTGAGAACTTACCATAAATTATCAGTAAGAGACTTAATTAAGAAAAATACTGTATATGCAGTCTTTTAAAAATCTTTCTCTTGGGTCCAGCCAGGTGGTGTGGAAGGTAAGGCAGCTGGATCCCACATGACCAACTATGTGGCTCGAGCACTGGATCCAGAAGCTTGAAAAGCATGCTGGGCGCTTATGCGTATATGCCACAAATCCTGAGAGGACAAGGGATTGCAGGATGGCCATCACCCTTTCTCATTAAAAAAATTTTTTTTTCTCAAGAGATTCACTTAAAAAGCATGTTAAAATATCATACCATTCTTTAAAATGAATAGTAGTATATATTTAGAGTCTTGGATTCTATAGATATAGAGTACTTATTTATTATAATAAGGCTTTTGGCACAGGTTAATCATCTTTCCTCTCTACTTCTACTTCCCTGGTAATATCAGGTTTTTAATCTATTCATTTTTAACATCTGGGACTCTTATCAGTTGGTATTGCATCTTTAGTCCACTCTTTACCTGAAACATTGCATTTTTAGCTGTTGGATGATCACAGTTTTCCTCTTCAGTATCATTAGGGAGGATGGAGAGTAGTTTCTTTCACTTATTGGTGGTGCCGTGTTTTTATTTTTGTTTTTGGTTTCTGCTATAGGGCATGTATGCTTGACAGGGACAGAAACAGAGAGAGGGAGAGAGAAATCATCTCTACCCTTAGGGCGATGGCCATGCCACAGTCCTTTCTTTACCATTCTCTTTTTGGGATTTTGGGCATGCACCCACATGTGCCAGTAATTTTCAAGCTCCTGGGCCTGGGACTCAAACTGTGGAGTCAGCCATATAGGATCCAGCTACTTTATCGTCCATGCTGCCTGCTGGGCCTCCCTTTTTCCTTTTTTTCACTTATCCAGAGCATTTACTTCAAGTCTTATTGGATCGTCTAGGGACTTTTTCCTTTACGGTATTTCTATAGCCTCCCGTATTATAGCTAATATTTATTGATCACTGTTTCAGTTTCTTCACTTGGATTATGGAAGTAGGTCCCAACAGTAATTAATTGAGGGAGCTATGCTTCACAGTTTAACAGATGAGGAAACTCAGGATCAAGCATATTAAGTAACCAACCAACCAAGAGGTCACATAGCCATTAATTGATATGGGTTGAATTTAAACCTAGTGTGACCCAAGAACTCAAGGTTTTTTTTCTTTTCTTTTTCTTTTTTCTTTTCTTTGTTTGTTTGTTTGTTTGTTTGTTTTCTTTTGCTATAGGGCATATGCACTCATTGGAGAGAGTCAGAGAGAGAGAGTGAGGGAAAAATCACTCTTAAGAGAGGTTGGCCCTGCCACAATCCCTTCTCTTTCATTCTCCTCTCAGGATTTTGAGAACACACACAGCACACCTGGCATATTTTACTAGCCTCCGGGGCTGGGATTTGAACTGATCTGTTGGCCATGTGGTATCCAGCCACCTTAACCTCAGTGCCACAAGCTGACCCAGAGCTCAAGTGTTTAACCATACTTGATCTTATCTATAAGCTGGATCTATTTAACCATTTAACCTTATCTATAAGTCTTCAAAAAGTTTGTGGAAATGTATTTTATGAAAAAGCTATCTATAGATATCAATGATTGCACCAAAATGAACTTACACTTTAATTCTATTTTCTGACAAACTTTTGAATTTCCCTCATATACTTGTATCATACCTACAAGATATCCATTTTACCTATGAACCACCATGGTTCAGAAAAATGAGCTGTGGGGATGATGTTAGCAAGAGAGCAAAATAGGAAGTTCCTGACCCTTCTCACAGAAACCCCAGTTCAGCAAGAAGACACAACAGTTCCCTTTAGGAGAAATCCAGAAACTAATCAAAGGGCTTCTACATCCCAGATGAGCACAAAACCAGCTACATTGAACTTCTATTGTAATATTTGAGACAGCCCTCCCTGGCCCAGCACCATATGATCAAGAAGAAATTCCCAGCTCCCAGATTCTCTATAGAGAAAGGAAAGGATAAAGGTCATAATCCAATGTTCTGATTTTTCTGGGAACTGTTGAAAGCCCTGACTTAGGTATCTCAGAGCACTAATAGAACCTGAAATAGACCAGACGCTTGGAGGACAATGAGAACAGAGTATGATTTGAACTAGCAAACTGGCACGCATTACAACTCCACCGCTCGGCTCTGTACAAAGAAAAAATCTCTCCCTGCTCCCACCCTTCTCCCTAGGGAAGGGAAAGGAAGGAATTGTATGTCCAGTGTTCAGATTTTTCTGGGGGCTGCCCAAGATACTGGCATCTGTCTCACCTTTCTTGGAGTGCTGGTGGAACCCCACAAATTCTAGGCACCAGGGGGCCTCTGAAAACAAAGACAACAGTTTGAACTAGCAAGAAAGTTTGAGTGGCCCCAGAATCTCTAGCTAGGTTGATGGTTGAGGGTTTTTTCTTTATGTTTCTTTTAAAAAAAATTTTTTAAGCCAGTACTTGAATACAGAGAGAAATGGCTGTTTTGTCTAATGTGAAGACACCAACAGAGAGAGCCAAGGAGAAGGAAAGAACAGAAAATATGTTACCAAAAAGTTAGATAAATCTTAAAAAACTGACCTAAATGAAATGAAGGTATATGAACTTACCTGACAGGAATTCAAATGAACCTTCCTAAAGATGCTTAGCAAAGTCGTGAGAACAATGCATGAACAAAGTGAGAATTTTAGTAAGGAGATAGAAAATATAAAGAAACATCAAATGGAAATCATAGATCCAAAAGATATAATAACTTAACTAAAAAATTGCACTGGGGTGGGAGGGATTCAAACTAGAGCAAGCAGAAAAAGAATTAGCAAGCTCAAGGTCATTGGAAATTGTCCAGTCAGAGTTGAAAAAGAGTAAAGAAAGTTTAAGAGATATATGTGGCATCATTAAGTGGACCAGTATATGCATTATGGAACTCTCAGAAGGAAAAGGGAGGAAGGACTTTGTAGCACAGCAGTTAAGTCCTGTGCTTAGGGAGCTGGATCTTACATGGCCAACTGTAATTAGAATCCCAGGCCTGGAGGCTTGAAAACATACGGGATGCATGTGTGTGCATGCCCCAAATCCTGCTGGGGTGGACACATGGAAAATGATTGCAGCATGAGAAATCATTGGAGGAAGAAGAGTAATACTGTTAAAATGTCTACATTACCCAAAGATCCAACAAAATCCCTATAAAAATTCCAATGGTGTTTTTGACAGAAATAAAAAAAATCTTTTTTTAAATTTACATGAAACCACAAGGACTCTGAATGGCCAAAATAATCTTAAGAAAGAACAAAATTAGAGGGCATTACACTTACTGGTTTCAAAATCTATTACAAATATATTAGAACAGTATGGTATGACATAAAGACACATACAGATGAATGAAACAGAATAGAAAACCCAGAAATAAACCAATGCAAATATGGCCATCTGATCTTTGAGAAAGATAAAAACAAAACAAAACAAAACAAAACAAAACAAAAAACCCTAGTGAAGAAAAGATAGTCTTTTGAAAAAAAAAATGATGTTCCAGAAAACTAAATATCCACATCCAGAAGAATGAAAATTGAACCCTTATTCTATACCAGACACAAACATTAACTCAAATGGATTAAAGACTTGACTGGAAGACCTGAAACTGCAAAGTTGCTAGAAGATAACAGGGGAAAAGCTCAATTATATTGGTATGGGGAAAATTTCATGACTAAAACATCAGAAGCACAGAAAACAAAAGAAAAAATAGACAAGTGGACTACATCAAACTAAAAAGCTTCTACATGGTAAAGGAAAACAATAGGGGCAACCTACAGAATGGGGGAAAATATTTTGAACTCTTGTATCTGATAAGGGGTTAATATTAAAAATGTATAAGGAACTTCTACAACACTATAGCAATAGCAAATAAAAAAAAAAACATAAAGAAACTTTAAATATCACGATTAAAAGTTATCTAGTGTATTAAACACACATTTCTTTAAGATGATAATCAGAGGGTTTGTGCCCCAGACCCAGCAACTTACAACTCATGCTGGGTGCATGTGCATGTGTGCCCAAGATCTCCGGAGGAGAATGGACTAAAGGGATTGCCACATAGTCATCCCCCTGGTGGTGGTGGTGGGGGGGTGATTTCTCATTTTCCCCTCTCACTGTCTCTGTATCTTTCTCTCCCTTTCTCTGGGAGTACAAACACCCAAAGGCAAAAACTTCTTTTTAAAAAATGTCAAATAGGGCTAGTCCCAGCAACAACTACATCCCCACCCCCCCCCTCCCGAGTGGCCCCAACAAAAAATAGTCTCTCCCACTTGCCCACTGCCCAGGATCTGCACTCTGCAACCCATGAGGTTTAATGCCCATTTGGACTTTGACAATCACAGATGGCAGTGAAGGCATCAACGTGCAAGCTCCCGACTTGTGGTAGTCTCATTGGGTATATGCAAGATACAACAGCATCAGTAAGCAGTGGCTTAGACACAAGCTACCTGGTCGTCTACAGAAAGGCTGTGGAATCATATTTCACTTCCCCTAGGTACTATCCTGCAGTTCTCCAGAGCTCTCATATCATGAGGCTGGGTATCCCTGGTCCAGTGCCCGTCACTTGGCCCCACTGTCCTAGTGGGACAGTGGGCCCAACTAGAGGCGGTGTGCCTGGACGACTGCATGAATGCCGACCTCTACCTATACTATAAACCCACAAGTCAAGTGCCCAGCAAGAGGCAAGGCGAGTGGCACTATGCCGAGATGAAGCATTTGTTCCTGGACAGTGCCACGAAGATCTTGGTCATGGAGGTTGGGTTGCAGCTGAGCTTTGACAAAGTCTGTGACAGAAAGCAGCCCAAGTACTTGCAGGCCATTGCCCTGAAGCTGTGAGTCCTGGCACAAGGACCCCGACATGTTTCTGAAAGTAGTCCACAATCTTACCCCCTTCCTTTGGATACACACTCCTCTCTCCTTCCATACTTTACTTAGGGAGAGGGGACTTTACATCAGGGAAGAAGCATGTTCACTGAAGTCCCAGTGGGGCCCTTATAGAGTGTACCCACCTCTTGGAAGTCAGAGGATACAACATATACTGTCACTGAAGAGTTTTCTCTTGGCGTGAAATGATGGTGTTGTATATATTACGATGGTTTTTGATGTTACCAGTAGTAGTATTCAGTTCTTTAAAGTCCTTGCCTAGAAAGAAAAAAAGGAACAAATGAATTCACTTTATGATCCTGTGATTCTACCTCTGGGTATTTATCTAAAAGAACTGAAATCAGGATGTCAAAGTGATATTTGCACCCCTGTGTTCATTGTCATGTTACTTACTACAGCTAACATGTGGAAACAACCTAAATGTCCTCCCACCAATGAATAGATAAAATATAGTATACACATGCAATGGAATATTATTCAGCATTAAAAAAGAAGGAAATCCTGCCATATGAGACAATGTGTATGAACTTGAGGACATTATGCTAAGTGAAATAAGTCAGTTGCAGAAAGATACCACATATACAAAGTATATCATTATAGTCAAACAAGAAGTAGAGAGTAGAATAGTGGTTGCCCAAGGTTAGGGGGAAGAGCAAGTGAGGAATTGTATTCAACATATATAGTTTCCATGATACAACATGATGAAATTCTAAAGATCTGCTGTACAACATCGTGCCTATAGTTAACATTACTGTATTTTATACTTAAAAATTCTTAAGAGTCTCATGTTAAATATTACCACAATTGCAAGAAGAAAAAAGAGCTTACTGAATTCACGCAGCTAGTTGTCAGCACAGTAAATTTTTAAAATTAGAATTATTGTATTTCTGGGACCAGCAAATGGCATAACAGTTACATCACTGGACTCCCACATAGTTGACCATGGTTCAAGTCCCAGACCCGGCGGCTTAAAACTCATGCCAGACATGTGTGTGTGTGTGTGTGTGTGTGTGTGTGTGTGTGTGTGTGTGCCCAAGATTTCCAGAGGAGAATGGAGGAGAAGGGATTGTGGTGTGGCCATTCCCTGGGGTGGGGGGTGGGTGGGGGGAGGGCAATTTCTTGTTTTCTGTCTCTCCAGCGCTATTTTGCCCTATAGCAAAATCGCTGTTAAAAAAAAAAAAGAATTATGTATTTCTTTGTGTCTCAATTTCTTTTTCCAGATTTTACTATAGGGTGTGTGTACTCACCAGAGAGGAATAGACAGAGAGAGGGAAAGTGAGAAATCACTCCCCAGTACAGTCTCCTCTTCTCTAGTCTCCTCCCAAGATTCTGGGCACGTACTCACAGAGTCCTGACATGACTCTCAAGCCACTGGATCTGGACTCAAATCACATAGCAGGCCATGTGGGATCCAGTCCCTTAACTGACCTCCATGCCACCTGCTAGCCCAGTATCTCAACTCTTTATTCTTTTTTTTTCTTTTTCCTTTTATACTTATTAGGTATATATTTCTGAGAAATTTTATTGGCATTTCAGTCAAGTTGTCTTGAATTGTCCTATTTTCTCTGATTTCATTAACCTTTCTCTTCCAAAACTAGCAGAATCACTTACTATTTTGGATTTGTTTTATTTCCCCTCAACTTTGACAAAATATATCTATATCTGTTTTTATGCTTTATATTAAAATCTTTTCATTTTATGCATGTCTTCATTTTATCCCCACACTTGCTCATTTACCATTCCCCACCCTCCGTCTTCCCTGAGATTCATTGGCCTGCTTTTACTCTGTAGTGTCTCTGGATAGCTGCTTTGACTTAAGTTGCTCCTTATTCTTGGTGAGAAAAATTATAATAGTATTTGCATATATGTAAATAATGCGTGAATTGTTTTATGTGAAATAAAATATTTTCATTAATTTTTAAACAGACGTCACTTTTAAAAGCGAGAGAATGGCAAGTACCTCAAGTGAGGTAAGGGAATCCGGAATAGAACTTCCATAGTCATTATTTTATAAAGAGATAAAATATGTGTAACTAGAAGAAGTAGTTATAGGTACAAAGTAGAAGACACCTGAGAAGTTACTCAGCTGATTCTCGGTTATTTCCGTTATAGCAGTATCTGCAGAGTTACCCATTTTTTTATGTTAAATTATACTCTTGAAGGAGAAGTTTCTGCATAAAATACTAACATTTAAAAACACATATGAAAATAGGGGACAAAAATTGTTGAGAAAAAGAGGAAACAAGAAAGAAAAAAGCATGAAGTTCTGCAAAAGATCTTAGAGATGTCATAGATCTAACTTCATTCTTGACTCTTTCTCATCAGAATCTTAGTTTATCAGATTGTAAACTTTGCCCAGGAATATTATGTATTTTATAATAGAAATAAACAGAAAATAGAGTTCATATAATGTAAGTTGCTTTTCAGTTAATTGTACAGAGAAGATACTCATTCTATGATGGAGTAAATTTTCCATGTAAATAGAAAGTAAATGGCTCTTCTCTACTGCTTGACAAATTTCATAATTTCCATCTTGAGGTCAGTGGCTCTCAAATATCAGTTGAAGAGTCAGTAGGTACGGGTTGCCCCAGCTCAAGGAGAGGAGGAGGAAAAAGCATGGAGAATTTCTCATAAGCTAAATTCATTTAGCTCAACCAGCTGTCTTTTACTTTATGATACCATTTTTTGTTCTATTTTGTTTTACGTTTTTCTTTATTTTACGGTAGAGTTGTAACTTTAGGATATTGGGTCTGTTTGTGTAATGTGTGTGTGTGTGTACTATTTCACTATTAAACTTTCTCTCGTTTCATGATATTTTGGTGATAATTTAATAATAGTAAAATGTCAGCCTGGATTTTCTGTTTTGAGATGGTGCTGACTTATACAATTTGGACATTTGAGAACTATTGCTTTATAAACCACTGTTTTAGCATGTTAATGTAAAATATTCTATGGCCTATGACTTCAGGCAAGTGAATTTATCATTTCTTTTACTACAAAATGTAATAACTTACAAATATCAATAGTAACATTATGACAAAGGATGGGGTACAGTTGATTTTAAGTCATTTTATTACTTGTAAGCATTTTCTAGTTAATTATTCATTGATAGCATGTTTTATTGCTATATTTTCTAGTTACTCGATAGTGATGAGAAGAAAGAATTGATTGTACCGACATTGAGCCACACAGCCCAAGATCATTTAACCGCTGTTCTTCCTAAAAGTGATGACTCAACAGTGCCACACGAAGGTAGTTCATTTGGAAGTATTCCTAGCCTGGAAATAACAGAAGAGAGCAAAATATCACCCTTAGATGAATACCAGTCAGAAGCTGTGCCAGACAGAAAAAGTAAAATGGCATTATTTCCACCAGAAGTGAAAATGAAAGAAAAACACCCGAGCATTTTAAAAACAGACATATCTGCATCAGAGGTAAAGTTGAGAAATATGTGCATAAATCTAAAGGGAATAATGAGGAGGAACTTAGATTCAACTTCAACAAGAGTTAGGTGCCAAGGCAGTTATCTAAGCTTAGCAGAAAGGAAAAGGACGAGTTCAGTTTCTCCAGATACAAAATCAAAAGATAGCCTTCAAAGCCAAGATCCACAAAATGACCCTGAACTGAAGGTGTCTCCCCTTGTATTAGAGGTGTAAGACTAGGAAAAGCAAAATAATTTGTTCAAAAAACACAAACAAATTTAATTACTAATAAATTGAAAATGCATCCAAATGTCTTCAAGTGAAAATGTGTCTAAGTATATTTAATATTCTTTCTCTGCTTATATTAAGTATTGTGGGGGGAAAAAAGCTATGAAGAAAAAGCAAAGTGATTTAAGATGTCAGTAATACAAAAAAAAAGTGGGTGTGAAATTTAGCTGAAAGTATAATAATTAAATGTAAACTAAAAGAAAATATAAAAGCCTGGGAAGTTATGTTAGTGGAAAATTTTAATTAAACTGTTACAGCACAGAAAACAGCATATATCCGCTTGTTACATATAATTTTATTGTTTAAAATCAGAATGATCTGAATGCAAATTTAAAGGTACACCAGAGTGAAGCCTTTCTCAGAATGACAGGTCCTCTATTTAGTCTTTACATCTTATTTGAATCACTATTCTAGGTAGTTGATAAAGCAGTAAAAGAGGATCCACAGGTCGGATGGCAAAGAATTTGAGTTCTAAGTAAAGCTCTGCTTTTATTTACTTCAACTAGCACCTAAATTTCTAAACCCTTTTCTTCGTCTTTTGAAAAGTAGATCAGTCTAGGTCATATTTAAATTCCCTTCCAAATTTCAAAAGATGTCATTTTATTAAATATTTCTAGCTGGGGAATTACTCATCGTCAACTAAGTGAATAGCTTATTCAGTGTAACTGAAACAGAGTGTGAGAGAAATGTAGTCCTAGAAAATTTAGGGGAGTATAAAAGAGACATAGTTATAATTCTACTGCTCCATTTAACAAGCCTATTTCCTTTCAATCTTGTTATGTACATATACTTACATATTTATTTATTTTTCAAATGTGTATCAAGCTGTGTAAATTAAAGCTAAATCATATATATGTGTGTATAATTTTATATTATGCTTTTTATTACTTAACATGATAAGCAAGCTACCTGAATTTTCTTTAATACTTGTAAGATACAGAATGTCCTTGAATATAAGTATTCCATAATTTTTAAAACCGTTTCTGTATTATTGGACATTAAGTTTAAAATTAACATTTTTTTACTTACCTATTTATTTGGGTCTGTAATGATCTAATATATTCATAGAAATGGCATGTCAATATATGATAGTACTTTACATTCTCATCAATAGCACTTGAATATTAATAGTCTCTTAAACAATGATTAAAACTTATTCATGCTTATTAGCCAGGTGATTTTCCCTGCTGTGAGTAGATAGACATGTCCTTTGTCCATTTTTTCTTTTGGAAGATTTGGGAATTTTGTTTAGGTTTTATAATGATCTCTGTTCATTTTAAAGATATTAACTACTTGTATTACGCACATACTCTTCCATAGTTTGTAGTTTACCTTTTAATTATTTTATTATACTTGAGTCTGACTTCCAAAATATGGAAGTTCCACTTTTATTTGATACGTGAGTCATTTATTATTGTGTAACAAGTAACTCCAAAATTTAGTGACTTAACACAACCATCTTATTATCTCTCAAGATTCCATGGTATTGGCTGTGCTAGGCTAGTCAGCTCTGCCCCACTTAATGGTGGATGTTGACTGGTAGTCATCTAGGAGTTTAATTGGACTGGAACTCTCATGATGGGTCACTTAAATGTTTGATACCTTGACGGAAGTAGCTATAAGGGCTTGACTGTAGACACATGGACATCTGACTAGATTTGCATGTCCTTTCTTTCTCTCTCTATGTAATCTTAGGAATTATCTGCTTTTCTCTCCATGTGGTCTGTCTATCTGGGTTTTTGTTTGTTTGGTTGGTTTTTGAGAGGTTTTTTTTTTTTTTTTTTCTATAGGGCATGTTCATTCACCAGAAATACAGAGACAGAGAGAGAAAGCGAGAAATCACCCTCCAGGGGGGATGGCCATGCCACAATCCCTTCTCCATTCTCCTCACGGGATCTTGGGCATGCACACACACTTGCCTGGAGTGAGTTTAAGACACCGGGTCCAGGACTCGAACCACAGTCAATAACATGGGAGTCCAGTGACATAGCCATTACTCCAACTGCTGATCCCTATCTGGACTTTTTAATAAGACAGCTGAACTCTATGTGGGGCCTGAAGGCTTCCAAAATATGAAAACAGAAACTTTAGCCCTCTTAAGACTCAGGTTTGAGTCTCCTCCACTGCATTCTGATGATTACAACAGGTCCTAGACACAGTCCTGATTCATGATGGGAGGGGACTGCAGATGGCATAAGTCTTGTGTGTGGGGATATTTATTGGGGGCCATATTTGGAGTATAACTATAATAGGTTAGCCCTCTCTAGCTCCAAGTAATTCATGTAAAGTATACTTACTTCTCTTCCAAGGTCCTTGGTCCCATGCTATTACTGCACAGGCTCAGGCTTGAAGTACAGAATTCTATCATCTAAATCAGGTCCAGGTGAATTGAAGAGACTGATCATCTGTCTCCCATATATGATGATGAATGAATCGGGTACAGGAAAATTGGGATCGACATTTACATTTCAAAGGTGGAGGGAGGAAAATGTGAGGCATATAGCAGTCAGCAGACCATACTAATTCTTGAAGTTTCTGCTTTCACCTCAGCTTTTAGTTCTACCCTCTGAATCATCCATTTGCTATAAGAAAGAGCTTCTGTTTGTAGTTGAGTAACTTTGCAGCCTATGTCCTGTCTGCAGGAAGCTGAGGGTTCAAACACCTCATTTTCATTTCAAACTGTTTGTCTCTGTTCAGTCTAAGATGCTAAAGATCAAAGATTTTTGGTCCAGTTAGTGATACGGTGGTTAAGGTGGCTGGATTTCACATGGCCAACTGTACTGTTCGAGTCCCAGACCCAGCGAGGCAGGAAGAAATCTAGAAAATGGAAGTGGGTAAGGGGGCTGGAGCATCTGCCTACATGGCTAGATTGAAAAACTGATCAGGGCCGTAAATTCCTTGCCCAAGGTAATGTAGGGGAGATTTCCAGTGGGGTATGTCTAGATGACTAAGCCAGATTTCATATAGCCAATGAGATTAATTAGTGGGCCTAGTGAGAGAACAATCAGTGGGTTCAGCCAGTGAGCAACTGACACAATCTAGATTGAAAAAAAAATGATAAACTTCACAGACTGTAACTGCCAGAGCCTTTGAGCCACTCCTCCTCTCTCTGTCCACTTGCATCAGCTCCCACATCTCAGAGTGTACTTTTGCTTTTTCTTAATAAATTATCCTTTACTTTTGCTATTGATGTATTTCATTCAGTTCTTTGTCCAAAACACGAAGAACCTGGACATCGCCAAAGCTATCCCACACCACTAGTGGATTAAAAAATATGGTGGTGCACATGTGTTTGCATGTTCCAAATCCTGAGAGGACAATGGAGAAGAGACTATGGCATGGCTGTTTCCCTTGGGGAGGGGTGGGAGTTGCTTTCTCACTTTCCTTCTCTGTCTCTATCTAGTGAGCACATGCTCCCTGTAGTAACAATTTTTTAAAAGAGTTCGTGGATTTCCTATGTATTAAATTATGGTCTTAGGGACCAGCAGTTGGCGTAATGGCTATGTTGCTGGACTCCCACGTAATCGACTGCGGTTCGAGTCCCGGACCTGGTGGCTTAAACTCACACCAGGCGCATGTGCGTACGTGCCCAAGATCCCAAGAGGAGAATGGAGGAGAAGGGATTGCGGCATAGCTATCCCCTCTAGGGGGTGATTTCTCGCTTTCTGTCTCTCTGTCTCTCTCTGTCTGTCTGGCGAGCACACACGCCCTATAGCAAAAACCTCTCCCCCCCCCAAAAAAAGTATGGTCTTAATTAGCCAAATATCACACCCCTAAATATCTTCTAGACATGACCCTATTTTCTTGGACTATTTCCTTGGGCTGAGAATCAAGTGTTGTAGCTCAGTACCTTTAAGAATTTTAGAATTGCTCCGTATAGCAGGGGAAACCTAAATGTCACCAAAGCTGTTTTGTTTTTGTTTGCTATAGGGCACATGCACTCACCAGAGAGAGACAAAGAGAGAGCGGAAGTGAAAAAGAAAGCTGCAGGGTCTGGAACTCGAACTGTAGTTGGTCACATGGAAATCCAGCACCTTAACCACCACACCACCTGCTGGTCCCCAGTGAAGGATCTTACAATATTGTTTGTATAGCTATGTGGGTCTCTGAGTTACCACTTAAATTCTTTCTGAAGTCTTAATAACAGACCTTGCAGCCACACCCTTGTGATGTTGACCCTAAAACCACATTTTACTGCCAACACCCTGGATTTGATCTTTGTCCCGAGGTCATTATTAAGAGTCATCAACTGGGAGAGACAAGAATGAGAAATAGTTTTATTTTTATAATTCTAACATATCGTGGCTCAACAATTATTTCTTTGGATTCTGCTTGAAAACTGAACAGTTTCTTTCTTTGTTCACCTCTCTTTATTTGTATCTTGTAATACTCAACTAAAAGAAACCATTTGAGGGGACAGCCAGGTGGCATGGTGGTTAAGGCATGGTTATCCACCATGATTGAGGGCATGGTTCAAGTCCTAGACCTAGCAGCTTGGAAAATATGTGTGCGTGTGTGTGTGTGTGTGTGTGTGTGTGTGTGTGTGTGTGTCTGCCCAAAATCCCAAGAAAAGAATGAAGGAGAAGGGATTACGGCATGGCCATCTCCCCAGAAGGTGATATCTTACTTCCCTCCCTCTCTTTCTCTCTGTCTCTGGCAAGCATACACACCCTATAGCAAAAACTAAAAAAAATAAAAAGAAAAAAAGAAACCATTGGGAATTT